TTATTTATTTGCCAACTTAGCTGTGTCCTGCTAGGTGGTCTTTCACAAGCCAATCCAGTGAATCTCCTCCTTAGAACTGAATAACATTGAAACAAATTTTTTTCGCTTTCCTTTGGTAGGAACGTTTTATCTTACTGTGTTTTGTGTCTGGGCTTCTCTTTCAACCTTTATTTTCAATTTCAGTATTTTAGAGCCTGCAGGTGGGTGTTACTTGGAAGACATATTTGTGAGAGATGATCTGTGTTGCCCCAAACACTTACTTTGCTCTGAATCCAGAAGATGCCAGCTTTTAAAATATTTAACATACCCTCCGAGCAGCTTTTTAAACAGTACTTCTGGCTTCCTCTGCTGAGTATTGAATGGATTGTGAAATGCCTTCAGAGGGAGCAGAACGGACTTGAGTGAACATTTTGCGAAGTCTGAATCCATATGGATTGTTTTTTATAAAGTACATAAATAGCACATTAGCTCTTTCCAAATTGCCTTGCGAATGAACTGAACCAGGCTCAAAGGAAAATGTAACATAGTCATGCTCTATGTGTTAGAACCCTCTTAGTGAGTCTGATTGAACTCAAAGGTTAGTAACGTCCCATGTGTAAGCGCCTGCTGGCGAATATACCTGGGAATTGAGATCTCCTCCTGAGTTTTACTAGGTTATTTTGTTTTGTGCAGCCTTTGCGAATGCATTTATAGGGTCTTTCCTTAGCTTTGGAACCGTAAGTCTTCTGGATGGGTTGTGAGACCTTTCAAGGAGATCAGCTGGCTCCTTCAACGAAAGCGCTTGGCGATGGTTATTAAGCTGTTTTATGAGCTGGCCTTTTCAAATAGGTAGTTTCTCCTCCTTTGCCACAATATAACATTTCCTGAGGACTTGCATATTTGTGATAATAAAGGAAGGGTCTCCCCAAGAACTTAAAGGGGGTGAAAATGGAGGTAGAACCAAAGTGCCATGTTCTCTGTGGCAGCCATGACCAGATCTCTGTGGTGGGAGGGAAGAGGCAGAATCTGTGGCAAACTGGAAATTCCCTGGCTGTTAGCACCAAACATTTTAAAACGTTGCTTGAGTTAGGTATGGAAATGAATAACCAGAACTTCTGGGAGAGTCCAACTTTGGCCCTGAAGTTAGTTCCATGCTGTCACTACATTTTAAATTCTCAGTGTACTGCGTAATTTCTTATTGAAAACAGAAGTCTTTGTAGAAGCTGTTATAGGGAAGTTCCCCAAAGCGTGGGTGCAGGTGGGGCTTTTTTTTTGGCACTGAGGTAGGTGTTGATTGTGGCTTGTGATTGAGGGAGAGACACATTCAGTTGGGTGTTTCTGTCAAGATGAGCAAAGAAGGAAAATAGTTAATATTGACCTTTTTAATATTAACAAAGATCAGCGTGAGCAGCGGTGACTCGGAAAGCCAGTAAGAACGGCTCTCAGATTTCACAGAAGCTGGGAAGAAGCGAGAGATGCTGGTAGTGGCCATGCTCTGCTGAGTCACTGCTTGTGGTATCTGCTCTGGTACAATTGAAGCCCAGCTTATCTTCTTATCTTAAGATTTGTCTTGGGGGGGATGAGGGGGAAGCCCAGTGCTTGATGCATGGGGAATAGGTAGCCCTTTCTGTGCAGGAACACTGTGTGGGCAAATATGTATGTTACAGGACTTGTATTTGCCATTTATTTGACATCTCTGAAAAACAAGCTGAATGTCAGCCTGACTACTCATTGGCCTGCGCTGCCACGACAGTAATAGCATTCCCGGTCCGTCAAACCAGCCTGGCGCTGCATGTTGCCATCGTGGCTGGAGCTTGTGGTTTGGCATCCCTCCCAAAGGACTGGGGAGAACGGTAAGAAATACGAGAATTCCTACAGGAATGTGGAATACATCACATCTTGGAGACCTTGGAAAGGGCTGAGCAAAATGTACTCATGATCCAAGACATACTGCAGTGTCTGCCACTTAAGTTTTACTGTGGAGAGTTTGCCACCACTTTGTGAAGAATAGGTGTAGGACAAGAACGGTGATAAGCAGAACAGGGAAACGAGTATTATTCTGCTCTTTCAGACAAGTTGCGTTGCATTGTGCAGTTGCATTATCTTAGCGGGGCAGCAGGTTGGAGCTCAGAGGTGGGGAGGAATAACCTTGTTTGCCACTGTGATGTGTATTGTATTTTTTTAATAGCATAAAACCTTGGCTGCTGTCAGGCACATGTTTGAATATTTGTCTTCTCAGTGTTTCCTTTCACTATCTGCTCTGCTCCATAGTTCTCCTAATTTGATCTGTACTTTAGCTTTGTTTAATGGATGTCATCTGATAGCATTAGGCTGGGGTTTTTTTGGTTTTGGTTTTGAAACGTCAAATTGGAATTTGAATTGATCAGCTTTAAAACTGAACACGAGGGCAATACAGATATTTTTACCAATGTTGTCAGATTGGCAGCCCTGTAACATGATTTTCTGTGTCTTCAGAACATACCCACAGCTTAGCTAAGTGCCGTGCCAGTGAAAAGTCCTCTCTGAGGCTTTGTGGAAAAAATTGGCCTATCTACTCATTGAAGTCAGAGCAGGAGTGACAAGTATGAGGTTGATTCTGAGATGGACCCTGACTTAACGGGGCTGAAATTACCGCTTCCACGTGGGCCATTTTGTAGCTGTCGCTACAGGCCAAAATTGACTGGAAGGCGTTCGGAGATCTTTGAACAAGGCTTGGAGGGGCTGCTGATTCAGTCGCGCAATCTAAACGGCTACCCAGCCCCACAACGTAATGCGGTTAAGACCCCGTGAGAGGTCTTGTAGATCCTAAATACACATTTACCACTGAGGCAGGTGAGCGGCGCCTGTGAAGAGACAATTGATCCTGCTCCGGTGTTGATCAGCCTGGTGCTATCACAGGCAGTGAGCAGGAGGAGTTAATTTTAGCTTGATTAGCAACACAGAAGGGAGTACAGATGACTGCATTGTAAATGGCACCGGGATGAGATCAAGGAGGGCAGTTTATTTCCATACCTCTCAGTGGGTGTTCTAACCAATTTCTTTTTCTGTTTGTTTGTTTTGAGGCAAACCAAGACTGTTAATGCGCTTAGTCCCTGAAATCCTTTTGTGGGCATAATTCTGAATGCTTCAGTATTATTGCACGGTCATTGCTTCCAGGGCACACCAGGTGCCTGTAGCCCATTCCTCATCCGTTTGCTGTTTCTTTGCTCTGTGCTACCTGGCCCTGCAGCAAGTGGCGAGTGCTTCGCGGTACGGGGCTCGCGGTTTTTTTCCTGCTCACCTTTGTTTATATTCCTGAGCATGTCCACGTCTGTTTATGATTAAACATTGCTCAAACAGCCAGGTTAAGATTTATTGACATAAAGGAGGCTGGGAGGAGGGAGTGGCTGGCCGGTCATCGGTGTCTCTTTCCGGCTGCCTAGAGCGATGTTACTGAAATCGTACACGTGTCTGTGAGGGCTGTGGCCTCTCAGGCCGGCTCCTCTTCCAAAGCATGGTGGCAAGGGCCTGTGGTCTTCCCCCCTCTCCCATATCGCGTGTTAAAAGCTCAAGACAGGGTATGTTGGAGGTTCTGAGAACATCCCATGGCTCTTGAGCTGGGGACCGCGGTGTTTCTGTAGGTGGGAGACGGCTTGCATGCCTCTGAGGAGAGAGAGTAGGCTTTGAAATATATGTCCTGACCTACTGTAGCTTAAAGGGGGGATCCCGGGTAGACGCCCTGCAAAAGAAAAGGCTGTTACGTGGGAGGGAAGGAGGTTCAAGATGAAAGGTGAGCCGGTGAGCACTCTTTAGGAAGTAAATTCAGATGAAAGTAAAGAAATAGCAGTGTTAGAAGTAAGTTCATAAAGACTCACCATCTTTTCTGAAGCTAAGGTAGTTTATTTCCCTCATAGCTACATGCAAACGAGAGGTATTAAATAGTTTTTTCGCTTTCGAAGGATTCTGTATGTAGAATTTTCTTTTTTTTTTTTAAACCACAGATATTGATTATTTTCAGGCCTTTTTTAAAGGAAAAATGTAGTACTCATAGCACACTAGAGAAATTAATAGATTGATCAGCCTAATATGGAAAGTGATTTTTGCAGTCATGAGACTTGATGATAAAAGCAAGATACCCCCCCCGAAGAAGCATGTTTTAAGTAATATACGTAATGCAATTTACATTTTCTCTGAAGTTCCAATATTTATTGGTTGATAAAGAAATCCTCAAGATAGGATCTAGCCCTTACAGGCTAGAATACTTGATTACTGCAGTGGTGGTATACAGAAGCAGTAGTGTGTTTTATAGAGCCTCTGAACAATCGTTATTTTTTTTTTTTTATGTATACAAACACACACAACAAAGTAACATAACAGGCTTGCTGCGTGTTACAGATCATATCAGTTGTCTGCCTTGCTGATAGCGAAACTTTCTGGTGCTGGTAGCCAACCTCATTTAAATAAGAGCATTGTCTGCTCTCCGGCCCGCCCGCTTCTTTAGTGGCAAACTTTCATATCAGGTCGTGGTGTTTTATCCGGCCACTCATTCTGACACTTAAAAGAGCTTCCTATTCCCAAACTTCAAAATAAATAGCAGCTTTACGGTTAATTTTAGACTCTGAAGACAGTTCACTAGGTGCTCTCCCCAGGTAGCTAGCTGTTGATGTCTCTGACAACATGACTGCTAAGTTTCTCCACCATCTTGCAGCGAGAGGAGCGATAAATTATATGCATTTTAATTGATTAGTGGAGCGGTGCTGGGTTAAAGTGAGTCTTACCATATGACACACTCACATGCAAAAAGTTCACTATATTTTAACTGTTCACTCAGAGACACCACGTTGTTTATGGACAAGGAGTACAAGGGGGAACAGAACAGCTTCTGTAACTGTGGTAGAAGCTGGGCCAGAGTTCACCTTCAGGAGACTTCAAGAAGCAAACAAAAACCGAGCCAGGATTGATTAAATGGTAGCTGTCGCTGCTGAAGCTGCGTATGAATTTATATGGATGTAAAATCACATCTGATTTTTGCGGGTGTAGGAATGACCTTCTGGACTCGTCCATTTAGTACGTTGACAGACTTGAGTGAGATCTTCCGCTGCTCCCGCCTGGACTGGCGGTCCTCCAGGTAATCTTTCCTGCTTGCTGCTGAATCGCATCCTGCGTGCGTTTAAAGGAGCAGGAGCACTGGAGGAGCCACCTCCGGAGAGCGAGCCCAGCGCTCCTGCTTTGCGATGAATGGCATATTTTGCAGCTGACACCAATGTTTTGAAATGTGAAACTCAGTGAGGTACAATTACAGCACCACCTCTTTGTTTCTCTGTTCTTGATGGATGGGCACCGAGTAACTCCTGTGGCGTACTGGCGTACACATTTAACAGGGTGGTCTTTGAGGTGGGCTTCAAGTGAGTCACTGACCCAACTACCCAGTGTCTGCCTTAAGAGTGTTTATTATAAAAGTCTGTCAGTGATATTCTTTTGATTATCCTAGGGCCTAGTTTCTGAGATCACCTTTCATATTTATAATCAGTCTGGAAATATTTGTTAGACCCATGTCAGGACTAATTTTAACCTAAGTGTTTATACTTGCTGTTTGTGTGTTTTAAATATATAGGTGAATTCATCCCTCGTCAGGTGCACATCGTCTGGTGTTTCACTGAGTTTATGACCTGGTAGGATGTCAAGAACATCCTCAGCTTTTTGTAGCAGGAAAATGAACACAGATAGGCTGCTAGCTGGCTTACCATGGTTTCTGTTGGCGAGGTTTCAGAAAAGTTGTTTTTGGAGCTGCAGATACTTGGCCCTTCGCACTCTAATAGCTTTTTAGAGGTGTTTGGGGCAGCTTCAGGTAGGTTTCTCAATACTGGACTGAGTAGTGTTGCTATAGGTCCTCTCCTGTAATGTTGGAGGTGCAAGGATCTGGAAAAGGGCCACATCCAATGTGGGCTTCAAGGGGGGGGGGGGTAGTTCCCAAAGCCAAAGGGACCTCCTGCCATTTCTGCTAATTTTCTACAAGCTGATTAAAACGCCCATCTTTCGCAGCAGTTTAAGGTCTTCTTTCCGTCTTTTCTCTGAGATTCTCTTGTGACACTTTGTGAATTTATTCCTTGACCTTGTTGTGTTATTGCACTGCACTGAAAAAACATCAGCTCCAGTATCTTAACTTTTTTTTTTTTTTTTTACTTCCTGTTCTGCACTGTGTTTTACTTTTCAAAGGGAATACTCCTGAAGTGGAGCTATGTTGGACATCTCAGGTAATTTTAGAAGAGAAAAAAATCAGAACCCAGTTACAGGGTTGCAAAGGCTGTGAAAATAGAAATCTCACTCTCCATTCTTCCTTACTGAATTCTCCAGGGTGAAACAAACTTTCCAGGAGAAACAAACTAGAACACTCTTGCTTGAAATGGTAACTGTCACTGTTTATATCAGGGTTGTTGCTAGATTTATCAGTCTGCTTTGTGGCAGCAGTTACAAGGTTTGCTAGGGAGCCAATAAGAAGTTCTAGGGAAGATGTGCGTTTCTAGGGAAATAGCTGTCTTCGAGTTGCAAAGCATGGTATTTTAGTACAAGTTCTCTTGAAGGTTTTGCTTTCAGCATTTTCAATAACAACAACAACAAAAGTCCCTGTCTTCTGCTGAGCTCTTAAAGGAAATGCATGTGCACCCAAACAGCATTTTGATGCACACTGGGCTGGGCTTTGGTGTCTGTTTTCCTGGCCTTCCCGAAGAGCCTGGGGGGGTTTGCTCTGCCACCTGCTTGGCTCAGTTCCTCTTGCTGACTCCTGCTCAGGCGGCTGGTGGACAAGACCTTGCTTTTCCTTAGCACAGCGAGGTGGGACGCCTTGCAGAGACTGGGGGAGGACTGAGGGAAGAAAAATAGTTTTTGTGTATGTCTGTTTGTGCATGGTGTTGGCAGGGAGCAGGATTCCAGAGTTTGCCCAAACTATCCTGTGAGCATTACTCTCTTCAAAGGAGTTTGCTAAAATACCTATTTGAAAATGTGTCTGTGTGTGGAAGTGTTTCTCAGTGTGTTTGTGAGCCTTGATGAAATGGCATAAAGGGAAGCCCTGTGCACCAGAGCTCAATAGAAACATTCATTACAGCTAATTTACTTGCTGCTTTTAAGAGACATAGCTATTCATAAGTTGTGGTTTTGCCTGATGCTGCTGGTAGTATTTGTTTTAAATAGATACACTTGCCTGCACACGCTCTTTGCCCATATGAAATCCTGTCTGGCTATGTTGGAAACCTCATTTTAAACACGGTAATATGCAGTGTTAGGCAAATCCCAGCATAACCTGCGGTGCCTTTTCATTAAGGAAGAAAATCCTTTGCTGTATGTACAGTTATGTACCACTCCAGCTAAGCAGTAGCAAGAAGCATAAGGAAGATTTTGCCTGTGAAAATGAGAAATGACCATTTTAATTTTTGTCTGAAGCTTTGTCCTTGTTCAGCCTGCATACTTTCTTTGCTTCTCCCAAGGACAGTTGGTGAATAAACTTTGGAAGCATAAAGGTGCTATAAAGCACTTATTTTGCAGCGTGTAGAGCCTGTGCATCCCGTTTGAGGTGACGTAAATCTCCTTACTCTCCTTGCAGACGGGACCTGCTGGTTGCCATGGCAGGATTACCATGGGTACGGGACAACTGGGAAGCACTTGTTGGAATGCAGAAAACATTTTCCGTCTTTGTTCATTCCTCTTGTATACGTCTGAGTGAGTTCAGGTTTGAAATAATTAGCCGAGTCAAAACAATTATAACTTTTCTATTTCAAGAACTTTTTGACACTTCCAGGCTTAAAGCATCAGCGTGGCAACTGACAAGACTTACCTGATCGAGAACAGACACTTTTCAAATTAATGAATTGCATTTTGTTTCGTGGATGCATGTGCGAAGGTGGTGTTTGGATCATGTGACTGATTAAATCTGAGTCGGTGGTTACAAACTCTGGGGTTTTTTTTAATTTTTTTTTTTTTATAACTTGTCAAATCTGCAATGTTTCTGCCGCTGAAATGTTGGTACCTTGCTCTTCCCTTCCTCCTTGCGATTCTTGGCCCCTCCATGTCCTTTATATCAGCATTGGTGCTTGTGCTGCCACGTGGTAGGCAAGAGCAGGGACCTGATCTGGCTGACAATTTACTGCAACATTTAAAAAAAAAAAAAAAAAGAATTATTAGTTCAGCTACCTGATTTGGCTTGTTGTGCAGTTACTTGGATGTTACTGTTGGCACAAGGGTGATGTTAGGAGGAAATGGCTGTGGGGGAGGAATGGTTGTGGGGGGAAGGAAATGCCTCTTACAGGAGAGGAACACGTTTAGATTGTGTTAAAATAAATCTACCTGAGATTGAGTGGCAATAACTGATGTCTTTTGGGAGGAGATAATGCTTAAGGAAGAAGGAACCAGCAGGCCATCCAGAGAACTTTACCTAGTTGACTAGTTGCTCATCCCATTGAGCCCAGGGTGAACGTAGGAAGAGGGGGGGGTTCCGGCTAAGTCAGATAGCACTTCAGTATCGGGGTGCAGGGGACAGCCTAAAATCCTTCTAGTAATCCAGAACTGTAGGTTAGCCAATGTTAGTTCCACTGGATTGGGTGAGAGGAATGCTCGATTACTTCAGGATGAGTTTGCCTTTACTAAAACCAGAACTGCATTAGCTCTGGTACAGGAGCAACGGCCAAGAGGCACTTCATGCAGGTACTGCGTTCCCAGGCTGTATTTTACACTGAAGTTATTTGTGCGTCTGGCGTAACAGGATGATGAAAATAGTTGCTGGTACTTCCTTCTGGGAAAAGTTCCCAACACCAGAAAATTGAAATTCATGAAATAAGATCGCTCTCTCTTGAATTCAGCTAATTATTTCAAGCCTGAACTCACTCACATATGCACACAGACTGTTTTAGTTCAGTCCCAGCTGATATATCTACTTCTTTGTGTATCTGCAATGTTAAGCATGACAGCTTATATGATAGAAAGTGACTGTGCTACAAAGCACGCAAGGCAAATGATTTGTATGCTGAGGGTAACTGTGCAGTTAGAAGCCAGTCTTCCTGTGTCTAAACTCATATTTAATTTACAGAATACTTATGACCAAGTGTTTCAGTGGCTTGTTCTGTCTTTTTTCAGTGTCGATGGAGTCACTGTACTCCTCTATTTGCAGATAATCTCTGATCCTAGTTTTCCTTTAGTTATGTTAAGAACCTTAAAGGTGAAATTCATGGCTTTTCTGATTAAACAATGTGGAAGAACACCCGAGGCCTGTTTTAGGGATTGTTGCAGTTTCTTTCTTTGTCCTGCTGCTATCTGGCAACATGCTTGTCTTGCCCCGTCTTTGGATTGAGTCGATCCGTTCCAGGAAGGACCCGTGTGCTGAGGTGTCCCCGTGGCTTTCCTGAGGAGCGATGGATCCTAGGCTTCGCCATTCAGTTGCCAACCCTTTGCTCATCTCTTCATAAAAGCAACAAATTTTATTTTCTGACCATTGTCTTATAGGTGTTTTTCTGGCGTGCGTTTGACAAGGCCTTTAAGTAGGCCTTCAGTAGGATTCTTCTGTTAAATCTGGTCAGATCAGCAGAGCAGTTGAAAGGGAAATAGCAAATGCTTAAAAACCTCACTACTTTAAGACTGGTAACCTCCAAAGTGGACCATGCACTCTTAAAAACCAGGCAGTGATGCTGCCTATGTCCCCTAGGCTAAAGAGATGTGTAAGGAAAATACATATAATGTCTTGTACGTTGCCACGGAGATATGGACAGCCTGTTTAGTGAAGTGTATTTAGACTTGAGAGAGCAAAATGTTTCTCCAGAACTCTCTGCATAGTGCAGTGAACTTTATTTGGACTATAGGTAGAGCCAGCCAAGTAGATGACAGAACTGGTTTCTTACAGGTATTGCTTACAAAGTGTTATTCAGGAAGACATTCTGGGGTGGGAAGGGGAGCGGGAAATGCTGGAAGTTATTTTGTTGTTGTTTTATTATAAAGGAAGGATGAGTGGTACATAATCTCCTGTGACGACTAAGACAGCTTTCAGAGCTTGTTGTATGATTTCACAACATTCATTCAAACTAACGGTTATTATAACTTAACTCGAGATTGAAAAGTGGTTTTGTTATGCGTACTCTCCCCAGCTTG